ATACTTTTAGGGCTTTTGGGACACTCTGTACATTACAAAAATATTTTTAAAATGTGCACCCGATAGGCGTCTGTGGATTCATCAAATAATACTTTTCAAAAACCAAACGGGCTAGCCGCAAACGTCCGTGCCGTATAGCGTGAGTAGCCCTGTATAATTAGATTCTATGGATAAAAGGCGACAAGAACTTAATTTTGTGTCGGTCTTCCCTGATATCGTACGCGATGAAAAATTGACATTGTGTAGAACACGTTTTTTTAAATTAAATTTTGACGTAAACTTGCACCTAAATGTGTGATATTCAAGATTCGTGTGACTTTTTGCGATAAATCCACCAGAATTATTAATTCGCTATCCAATGTCCAAAGCCAAATTCATTTGAAATCAGCAAAGCTTGTCGAAAACTCAGTTCAAGATAAAAGATCTATAGAGTAGAGATCATTCTCATCAGCTTCCGGCAAGCTGGGGCCCCATCCTCCATTTTCTACCCATTCCAGTTGCCATAAGGGCCAGATTAGTTTTATATTTTCCATCGAAGAACGCGGTTCACACGACACTGTCGGTAGCAAACCGAATCTTAATACCTACACATTTTCAAAAAAAAAACGACACCGAAGTTCAGAACAAACATGAACAGCTCAAAAGCGCAACTCAACATAGTGTTTTAGAGTTATTTGCACTTGCCTATTAGGATTGCATTTGATTCGTGATATTTTCCAGGAATAAATGGCGCTATAGTGCACGTGCTTAAGGCCAAACAGGCTAGTGGCGATTTTAATGGATTCCCAGAAAGTTCGAAAAAATACGTAATGAAGGTGGCTTGTATGGGTGACATGAAAATTGTCTTGGGGAAATGTGGAGCGCCTGTTCGATTATTACCGGTCAAGGTCCGAAAACAAATACGGACAAATCCGACCGCCCATCTTACTGTAAGATTTACTCAATATATGAACCAAGCGTGATAACCATTAATTTTTGATATTAATATTGCCAGGTGCCTGATCCGGATGTAACCGACATTTTCCTAGATGAGCATGATGAATATATGATTTTGGCAAACAAGACGCTCTGGGACGTAATGACACCAGAAAACGCTATAAACGAAGTTAGCTTACAGCGTAATGTGATTTTAGCAGCGAAGCGCTTACAGGATCTAGCTCAGAGTTATGGTAAGAAGAAAAGCTGGAACATCCAAACGAACTCTATTAACATGAAAAATACTCTAGGAGCGGAGGATAACTTAAGCATAATTGTCGTAAAATTTAACTTGATCAGTTCCGATGTGGACTTGCTAATGAGGGAACTGCGACAAACTTTCATTAAAAATAAATATCACAGCGGCGATAGCACAAATTCAATGTGCCAGCCAGGGTGCTGCTGTGAGGCTTTAAATAACGAATGTATTAACTGTATTGATCGAATAGTCATCCCTCCGCCCACTATAATGGGCGAAGAAAGGTAGGTGAGCGGACTTAAAATCGGCATATTGGGGAAACTTATTTATGCTGCAAAAGTTGCAGATCGTCTCCCAGCGGGCAAAGTGAACATGCTTGTAGCGATTGTAATTCATCTTCAAAAATGTTCATCAACCAGTTGGCTAAACAGCCAGATGGAAAGTTATTAAGAAGCGTTACACCATCACTCTTTGAAACTGTTGAGGTAATAAATAGAACAGTCAAAGCAAATTGTATGTAATGCTTCTAACTGATCCAACTTCAGGTTAAGCTCAATCCAGAACGGAGAAGTTATCGGGGAGTGGCAAAAGCACTCAAGCAGAGACGGGAAGAAGAGAGGAATAGAGAAGTTGATTCTGATTCAGCATTGTCGGAAGAACAATTTAAATGCTGGGAGTATATGCTCGAGCAAAATACGCAGCTTTTATTTGACAAGGTACCTACGAACATGTTTAACAACAAACTTGATGTCTTAGTCGAGCAAATATTCAAACTATATTGTTTGAAAAACATGCCACATGCAAAAAAAATTATAACGTTGCATAGAATAGACATAGGGTAAACGCTACAGTTGTTGGCA